ACCGATAGCACTAACATCACACATCATAAAAAATTTTGAGAGATTGCTAAGAAGTAATATCACAAAACACATGGAATCACAGCATCTCCATAACTCCGGACAACATGGTTTCAGAACAGGGCGCTCTTGCCTGTCGCAGTTGCTGGACCACTATGATATGGCATTAGATGCTATGGAAGACAAACAAAAAGCTGATGTAATTTACACAGATTTCGCAAAAGCTTTTCATAAATGTGACCATGGTGTTATTGCACATAAAATGCGTTCAAAAGGAATTACCGGAAAAATAGGCAGATGGATCTACAATTTCCTGACTAACAGAACCCAATGTGTAATAGTCAACAAAATAAAGTCCAGCCCATCAACCGTCAAGAGCTCAGTCCCACAGGGTACTGTGCTTGCTCCAGTACTTTTTCTCATCCTCATATCGGACATAGACAAGAACACAACCTATAGAACTGTATCATCCTTTGCAGATGACACTAGGATCTTCATGAGAGTAGGCAACATAGAGGACACGGCGAACCTCCAATCAGATGTATTCTTTCTATGGGCTACAGAAAATAATATGGTGTTTAACGAAGATAAGTTCCAGCTCATGCGCTAAGGAAAAAAATAAAATATAAAAACAGAAACCAAGTACAAAACTCAGGCAAATCATAACATTGAACGAAAAGGCAATGTAAAGGATCTGGGTGTACTCATGTCGGAAGACCTTACCTTTAAAGAACACAATAAAGTAGCTGTCACAACTGCAAGAAAAATGCCAGGTTGGATAACAAGAACTTTTCACACTAGAGATGCTATACCGATGATGATACTTTTCAAAACGCTTGTGCTCTCTAGAGTGGAGTACTGCTGCACAATGACAGCCCCTTTCAAAGCTGGAGAAATTGCTGACCTGGAGAGCGTGCAGAGATCCCTTACTGCTAGAATCCACTCAGTAAAACACCTAAACTATTGGGACCGACTAAAGAGCCTAAAACTGTACTCCCTTGAGCGCAGGCGGGAGAGGTACATAATAATTTATACGTGGAAAATATTAGAGGGGCTGGTCCCAAACCTGCACACAGAAATAATATTACATGAGACCAGAAGACATGGCAGGATGGGCAGAATACCCCCGTTGAAAAGCAGAGGTGCAACAGGTACTCTGAGAGAGAACTCTATCAACATCAGAGGCCCGAGACTGTTCAAGACGCTTCCGATACACATAAGGGACATAACTGGCAGACCCCTTACAGTGTTCAAGAGAGAACTGGATAAGCACCTCCAAAGGATACCTGATCAACCAGGCTGTGACTCATACGTCAGGCTGCGAGCAGCCGCGTCCAACAGCCTGGTTGATCAGTTCAGCAACCCGGAGGCCTGGTCGACGACCGGACCGCGGGGACGCTAGGCCTCGGAAGCACCTCAAGGTAACCTCAAGGTAACCTCAAGGTGGGTGTGACTACCTGAAGGGTCCTCACGCTGGGTGTGGGTGTGACTCCCTGAAGGTTCTTCATGCTGGGTGTGGGTGTGACTCCCTGGAGGTTCTTCATGCTGGGTGTGGGTGTGACTCCCTGGAGGTTCTTCATGCTGGGTGTGGGTGTGACTCCCTGGAGGTTCTTCATGCTGGGTGTGGGTGTGACTCCCTGGAGGTTCTTCATGCTGGGTGTGGGTGTGACTCCCTGGAGGTTCTTCATGCTGGGTGTGGGTGTGACTCCCTGGAGGTTCTTCATGCTGGGTGTGGGTATGACTCCCTGGAGGTTCTTCATGCTGGGTGTGGGTGTGACTCCCTGGAGGTTCTTCATGCTGGGTGTGGGTATGACTCTCTGGAGGGTCTTCATGCTGGGTGTGGGTGTGACTCCCTGGAGGTTCTTCATGCTGGGTGTGGGTGTGACTCCCTGGAGGTTCTTCATGCTGGGTGTGGGTGTGACTCCCTGGAGGTTCTTCAAGCTGGGTGTGGGTGTGACTCCCTGGAGGTTCTTCATGCTGGGTGTGGGTGTGACTCCCTGGAGGTTTTTCATGCTGGGTGTGGGTGTGACTCCCTGGAGGTTCTTCATGCTGGGTGTGGGTGTGACTCCCTGGAAGTTCTTCATGCTGGGTGTGGGTGTGACTCCCTGGAGGTTCTTCATGCTGGGTGTGGGTGTGACTCCCTGGAGGTTCTTCATGCTGGGTGTGGGTGTGACTCCCTGGAGGTTCTTCATGCTGGGTGTGGGTGTGACTCCCTGGAGGTTCTTCATGCTGGGTGTGGGTGTGACTCCCTGGAGGTTCTTCATGCTGGGTGTGGGTATGACTCTCTGGAGGGTCTTCATGCTGGGTGTGGGTGTGACTCCCTGGAGGTTCTTCATGCTGGGTGTGGGTGTGACTCCCTGGAGGTTCTTCATGCTGGGTGTGGGTGTGACTCCCTGGAGGTTCTTCAAGCTGGGTGTGGGTGTGACTCCCTGGAGGTTCTTCATGCTGGGTGTGGGTGTGACTCCCTGGAGGTTTTTCATGCTGGGTGTGGGTGTGACTCCCTGGAGGTTCTTCATGCTGGGTGTGGGTGTGACTCCCTGGAAGTTCTTCATGCTGGGTGTGGGTGTGACTCCCTGGAGGTTCTTCATGCTGGGTGTGGGTGTGACTCCCTGGAGGTTCTTCATGCTGGGTGTGGGTGTGACTCCCTGGAGGGTCTTCATGCTGGGTGTGGGTGTGACTCCCTGGAGGTTCTTCATGCTGGGTGTGGGTGTGACTCCCTGGAGGTTCTTCATGCTGGGTGTGGGTATGACTCCCTGGAGGTTCTTCATGCTGGGTGTGGGTATGACTCCCTGGAGGTTCTTCATGCTGGGTGTGGGTATGACTCACTGGAGGGTCTTCATGCTGGGTGTGGGTATGACTCCCTGGAGGGTCTTCATGCTGGGTGTGGGTGTGACTCCCTGGAGGGTCTTCATGCTGGGTGTGGGTGTGACTCCCTGGAGGGTCTTCATGCTGGGTGTGGGTATGACTCCTTGGAGGTTCTTCATGCTGGGTGTGGGTATGACTCCCTGGAGGGTCTTCATGCTGGGTGAGGGTATGTCTCCCTGGAGGTTCTTCATGCTGGGTGTGGGTATGACTCCCTGGAGGGTCTTCATGCTGGGTGTGGGTATGACTCACTGGAGGGTCTTCATGCTGGGTGTGGGTATGACTCACTGGAGGGTCTTCATGCTGGGTGTGGGTATGACTCCCTGGAGGTCATGCTGGGTGTGGATGAATATGACTCCGGGAAGGCTGAATAATGTTATGATGTTATGAATAATGTACCTGTGTTGTATTGCAGACCATGTGCTAAAAGCGCACAAACTTAGCTGTCTTTATAAGGGTTTAGTTTCATGTCTCAGACCCACTGAATTAACCTATGTAGCCAATTCTTTGCTCTGCCTCTGGACTACTAATTTTCTTTCATAACTTCATCTCCTTAAACATTCCATGCTAGGGATAATAGCTGCTAGTTTATTACCATCAAGTATATCAGCTTAAAATATGGATATCTTTCAGCCGTCGGGCTGAATGATATCCATATTTCCTCTTTCCTTTATCCTGAATATCCATATCCCTGTTTCCATCACGCTCTTGTACTCTGTTGTCCGGATACACAATCGTTCTTGTGTGTATTTCCGGTGTCTCAACATTATCTCAGTCGCCTTGGGAACTGCGAGAATAAGATGCAGCTTCGTCTCTGCTGGCTGGCAGCAGAGACGAAGCGTCCTCTTGAAGTGAGAGTCCGTATAGCACTCTCCACCCAATATGTTACAGTAAGTACTTTCAGTTTAGGAAGATGGGCTGTGTTATCCGGGCTTTGTGCCTGGGGGTAAACTTTGACTCGTGTTGTTAAAAGAAAATCTGAGATTCTGTTTGTCTGCTACTGGTGGAGACTCGAGGTCTTCCTCAGTGAACCTAAGATCAACATCTTGGGGGAAGAAATGTTGGTTTATTCAGAACAATGCTCCGCTCCCTCAAGCTGACGCAGTAGAGAGAGCGAGAGAGAGAGAAAGAGCAAGGGAGAGAGAGAGAGCAAGGGAGAGAGAGAGAGCAAGGGAGAGAGAGAGAGCAAGGGAGAGAGAGAGAGCAAGGGAGAGAGAGAGAGCAAGGGAGAGAGAGAGCGAGAGCAAGGGAGAGAGAGAGAGCAAGGGAGAGAGAGAGAGCAAGGGAGAGAGAGAGAGCAAGGGAGAGAGAGCAAGGAGAGAGAGAGAGAGCAAGCAAGGAGAGAGAGAGAGAGCAAGGGAGAGAGAGAGAGCAAGGGAGAGAGAGAGCGAGAGAGAGAGAGAGAGAGAGCGCAAGAATGACCAAGAAGATGGGCAATATGAAGTACTAACGTTGAGGTACTGGGAGTACTCCTCCGAGAGCTTCCACTTTAACCCCCATATGTTAACAGCAGGTCCACCAGGGTCACTATAACCAGACATTATACCACCACACTCTTACTCCACCACAACACCACACTAGTTCACTACACCATCATGCCAGAACTATACCTCCCCGTCTCTATTATGTACCACACTACCACCATATACCAGCACTGCGACACTATACCACCATATACCAGTACTGCCACTCTATACCACCATATACCAGTACTGCCACACTATACCACCATATACCAGTACTGCCACACTATACCACCATATACCAGTACTGCTACACTATACCACCATATACCAGTACTGCCACACTATACCACCATATACCAGTACTGCCACACTATACCACCATATACCAGTACTGCCACACTATACCACCATATACCAGTACTGCCACACTATACCACCATATACCAGTACTGCCACACTATACCACCATATACCAGTACTGCCACACTATACCACCATATACTACACTATACCACAACACTGTACTGCCACACTATACCACCATATACCAGTACTGCCACACTATACCACCATATACCAGTACTGCCACACTATACCACCATATACTACACTATACCACAACACTGTGACCAGCCATCGCCAGTACCCCTCACCAGTACGACTCGTGTGCTACAGAGTACTGGGAGGACCACTTCAAGTGCCGGTACCCCGGGGGTCAACGGACGCCCTACAACGGGGACTACGCCAGCCTGTGTACTGGCCAGGAGAAGCTTACCGAGAAGAACACCCAGTTCGAGGCCCAGCTCCAGTTCGTGTCGGACGCGGTTATGGCGTTTGGTTACGCCTTCAGGTGGGTCCTTTGTCCTTACCAACCAGTACTTGTCAGTGTCCACGGGGAAGTGAGGTATACCTGTATAGTCTGGGAGGTATACCTGTATGGAGTATACCTGGGAATCTGTATACCCCGCCTACCGGCCTTGTAACTCTTGCCTTACAACCTGACTACTCTGACTTGCAAATTCTTTATCGAATTGGGACTTAAAGTTGTGGATGGAGACGGCATCACCAGCTTCCTGTTTTAGAGCATTCCACGTGTTAACGGGGCCCCGTACAGGGTACGAGTACTTAGGTCCTTTTGGCTCATTGGTGCTTCCACCTGTGTCCTCTTGTCCTGCTTTCTCACCATGTGTACTCACCTAGTTGTGCTTGCGGGGGTTGAGCTTCGGCTCTTTGGTCCCACCTCTCAACAGCCAATCAACCGGTGTAGAGATTCCTGAGCCTTTTTGGCTCTATCATATCCATATATGAAACTGTGTATGGAGTCTGCCTCCACATAAGGGGCATAACTGGCCGACCCCTCACAGTGTTCAAGAGAGAACTGGATAAGCACCTCCAAAGGATACCTGATCAACCAGGCTGTGACTCATACGTCAGGCTGCGAGCAGCCGCGTCCAACAGCCTGGTGTATCAGTCCAGCAACCAGGAGGCCTGGTCGACGACCGGGCCGCGGGGACGCTAAGCCCCGGAAGCACCTCAAGGTAACCTCAAGGAAACCACCACATAATTGCCTAATGCATCTGTTAACTGCTCTGAAACTGACAAAGTTCTTTCTAATTTCTCTATCTACCCTATTAATTCCTCTGAGAATTTTATATGTGGTGATTATGTCTCCCCTAACTCTTGTCTTCTAGCAACGTCAAGTTTACTTCCTGTAGTCTCTCCTCATAGCTCATACCGCTCAGCGCAGGTACTAGTCTAGTGGCATTCCTCTAAACCTTCTCCAATTTTGTTTTGTGCTTGACGAGATACAGACTCCATGCTGCACCTGCTTACTCTGGTGGCATACCGCTCAACTTCTCTAACTTTGTTTTGTGTTTAATTAGGTATGGAGTCCAGGCTGGAGTTGCGTACTCCAGGATTGGTTTAACATAAGTGGAATAGGATTCCTTACACAAGTTTCTAAAGGCAGTTCTTACGTTGGCCAATCTAGCATATGCCGCTGATGATATCATTTTGATGTAGCGTCTTGGGACAGGTTTGGTGTGATATCAACCCCCAGATGTTTCTCTCTATTTGGCTTTTGCAGGATTTCACCTTAAAGATGGTACCTTGTGTTCGCCTTCCTGATGTTCTCTCTCTCTCTCTCTCTCTCTCACACACACACACACACACACACAGAAAGACAAACATCCGTAGGACCTCCCTCCCCACAAAGAGACCGATCACCAGTAATATCACTAGATTCACCAAGCATTCAAATCTTCCAACAAACAGCAGAAGGAGCCTCTTTAAGTAGCAGCAGACCCTTAGCCAAGGAGCAGCAGACCCTCAGCCAAGGAGCAGCAGACCCTCAGCCAAGGAGCAGCAGACCCTCATCCAAGCAGCAGCAGCAGCACTGTCCAATTAGCAATAAGATCCCATTCCCACAACAGCACAAGGAGTCCTTCGACCAGCCGTAGGACTCCCATGAGCAGGATAACTTCCCACACCTGGGTTCAGGTCCTCTTCTCGTTATCTTCTTCTTCTTCAGGGACATGCACAAGGAGCTGTGTGGGGGGCGGGCCGGCCTCTGTCACCTCATGGACCCAATCAACGGGGAACAGCTTCTCTTCTACCTCAGAAAGGTGGTCTTTATCGGTGAGTATCTCTTGGTTACTTCTGTGGTCTGGGTCATGGGGGCTATAGTTCACGGGTCTGGGTCATGGGGGCTATAGTTCTGTGGTCTGGGTCATGGGGGCTATAGTTCTGTGGTCTGGGTCATGGGGGCTATAGTTCACGGGTCTGGGTCATGGGGGCTATAGTTCACGGGTCTGGGTCATGGGGGCTATAGTTCACGGGTCTGGGTCATGGGGGCTATAGTTCTGTGGTCTGGGTCATGGGGGCTATAGTTCACGGGTCTGGGTCATGGGGGCTATAGTTCACGGGTCTGGGTCATGGGGGCTATAGTTCACGGGTTTGGGTCATGGGGGCTATAGTTCAGGGGTCACGAAATAACGAAAATTAACACGTGATGAAAAATGTGACAGTGTCAGACTACGGAGGAAGGAATGGAATCCTTCCTTCTGAAGATGTATTATTATACGAAAGTTCTTACGGAAATTCCCGTTTCAATTCTTCCTCGGTAGTCTGACACTGTCACAATTTTCATCACTTGTTAATTTTCGTGATTTACACACACACACATATATATATATATATATATATATATATATATATATATATATATATATATATGCAAACAAGCCTGAATGGTCCCCAGGACTATATGCAACTGAAAACTCACACCCCAGATTAGGCATTACCCAGATTAGGTAATCTTGGGCATGCTATGCCCAAGATTACCATCCGAGTGCCGGCGGGGAAGTGGTTCAAATAGCTTCGGCTATCACTTCCTTATGTCTGGTCGTGATGGTCAAGTGGATTAAGGCGTCCTGTACATACCAGTTGCGTTGCTTCTGGCAGTATGGGTTCGAGTCACTTCTGGGGTGTGAGTTTTCAGTTATATATATATATATAATATACATATATATATATTATATATATATATATATATTTGTATATATATTGGTAGCAGTCTTTCTTGTAAACATATGTTGTTGAATAGGACCGAAAAAGTAAGATTGATAATTCTAACACGAATTTTGTTAATATTTCTTATATTTTTCTTTACTGTCGGTGGTAATGAAAATATCAATTATCCAAAATTATTTTTTTTATTAATGGTCTGACGCTTAGAAGAATTTTCCAAGGGCTTCTTACATTCTCAAAGACGTCTTTACACTACACTTATGAACTACATATATGACACACTCGATGCACTGTGTATGAAACATTTGATTGTTGCTCTTATAGATTCAGCTACTCGAAATAAGTTCCAAGTAGCACGGGCTATGGTGAGCCCGTAACTTACCTGGCACAGGAGCGGGGCAAGTAGCACAGGCTATGGTGAGCCCGTAGTGGACTTACCTGACACGGGAGCGGTGCTCGAAACATTTGAGGTTGTTGTTGTTGTTGTTGTTAAAGATTTAGCTACTCAGGACGAAGTGTCCATGTCGCACGGGCTATGGTGAGCCCGTAATTGAGTTTGGTTATACATGATAACCTTTTTCCTGTTATATTTGGGACTAAGTTTAAAATGGAGGAGAGGACTTCTCCTTTTTCCCTGCTTATTTATCGCTTCTGTTTTAGTGCACTGGTTTTAATCTTGTTTTATTAACATTATCTTGGTGGCGGATGTAGATGCAGAATACTCACTAATGAGTCCCATTCCTCAACAGCTTTTCTAATCATTGTAGTCGCGGTGGAATGTGCATCTAATGCAGCTGCTGTCGTTGGATTAATGTTAAGTTTGATGCGCAGGGGTTCAGTAGCTTCACATTCCAGTAAGTAGTGCAATAGTGGCGCCTTTGCTTCTGTTCCATAGATATGACACTCTTTAACAATTGGGTTCATTATCTCCCAGCAGCACTTGTAACCAAGTCTGAGTCTGTGTATGGCTACTGCAATGTCTCTGGATATCTTTTTGCCAGGCTTGAAAGAGGAGTAACCAGTGGCTTGTTCGTACCATATCGCAGTGGATCTTCCTTCCGCTACTTTGGCTCTGTGGTGACTTTTGATAGTTGAGAATATTTTCTTCTTGATTTGCTCCTTTATCTGTGAGAAACTTGGAGGTATTTGAACCTGTACAACAGGTAGAGCAGTGGCAGTTTTTGCTAGTGAGTCTGCCTTTCCATTACCATCTATGCCAATGTGACTTGATATCCAATTTAGGGTGATTGACAGCCCTCGATTATGGGCTTCTTTTCCTATATGTTGAATTTCTGTGAGGAGTTGTATATTATCTCTGTGCTGACTGGATAACAATGCCTGGAGCGAAGATTTAGAGTCAGTATGAATGATGACATCATGTAAATTATTCTCAATTGTATAGTTTATTGCCTCCTTCAGGCCATATAATTCTGTTTACAATGTTGAGCACCCACTATCCATGCTCCAGTAAGCTTCATGGTTGGTAGTGTAAACTGCTGCCCCAGCAGAACCTTTTTCTTGATCAACTGATCCGTCTGTGAAGATGTGAGTCGTTGTGGGTCTAGAGATAGTTTCCATTTGTTCTATTACTTCCTTGAGCCTCTACGGGTCACATGCTGATTTTTTAACTGGTAATCTTTCAATGATTATCTTTAGATTCGATTCTTCCCATGGAGGAGGCTGTCGAAAATGTTGATATGGTCTATCTTCTCTTTTGTTTTTAATGGTCCATTTCAGGTCCATTTTCTCTAAAACATTGACCACATTATCCATCCATGAGCTTGTTCTATACTGTAGGTTTTTCTGAAAGGATCTCTGTATGCTGTCTTTGGTTGACAGTCTGGCGGTTGTTCCAGTAAGTTTTCCTATTATGGTGGCTATCCTTTGTTTCATCCTGTTTTCTAATGCTGGTAAATTTATTTCCATTCTATGGTTCTCTCTACGCGTCCATATAGGTGCTCCCAGCATTGTTCTCAGAGCATCATTTTGAGACACTTCCAGTTTCTCCCACTGGTTATCACTGGGGGATGTAAGAGCAGGAGCAACATAGTCGATGAGTGACCTAACTGCTTGAACGTAGTACATTTTGAGTACTGGTAGAGATGCACCCTCTCAAAGACTGGTCAGAGAGCGCAAAGCCGAGTTTCTGGTTTTACAGCATTGCCGAAGATATTCAATTTCTTGAGTGAATTTCAACTGGTTGTCTATTATGACTCCTAGGTATGGAAAAGAGGTAACCCACTCAAAAAAAACATTTGACATAATCCTCGCTTTTTATTGGATTTGGGTGAGGAGGGTATTGGGTGAGGTGGGTACATGAGAATGGAAGTAACTACAGAGGGTCTATTGGCCCATGCGGTGCATTGAAGTGGGTAGAATATAGTTGTGCATTAATTGGCTGTTGATTGCTGGTGTTGACTTTTTGTTGTGTAGTGCCTCGCTGATGTCGAGCCGCCTGCTATCGCTGTACCTATCGAAGATTTCTGTGTTGTTTGTTAAGATTTCTCTGGTGATGGTCTGGTTGTGAGAAGAGATTATATGTTCCTTGATGGAGCCCTGTTGCTTATGCATTGTTAGTCCCCTGGAAAGAGACGTTGCTGTTTGGCCTATATACTGAGTTCTTTGGGGCTTACAGTCCCCAAGTGGGCATTTAAAGGCATAGACGACGTTGGTCTCCTTCAAAGCGTTCTGCTTGGTGTCTGGGGAGTTTTTGATGAGTAGATTGGCCGTTTTTATATAATAAATTATCAATTGTATTTTCTGTTTCGAATATATCGTCCAATAGTCGCCTATTGGACGATATATTCGCCCTCAAGAAGCAAAAGAAGGTCACCACTAGACACCTTGCAAGCAGAACTTACTGCTGAAGGAGGAAAGATTCAAGGTAACTACAGAAGCACCATACTGTCCCAAGAAATCAAAGCGGCAGCTAAGAGCCTTCGTGAGAACAAAGAGATAGTCATTAGGAGAGGTGACAAGTCGCCAATGTACGTCATTCTTAGAAAAGACGAATATCTGGCAAAAATGAATCTCATACCCTGACCAAACTAAATTCTAAAGGGTAACGAAGGACAATACAGCCGAATTGAAAACAAAGGTAAACAGATTGATCGAAACTGTGAACGCCAAGAAATCCGGACTCCACCTGCCAAAGTTATATGGGAATACAAACCTGGATATGCCTGTGGAAATGTCAAGACTCACAAGCCTGGAAACCCACTTCGGCCAATCATCAGCCAGATACCCACAACCACATACAGACTGGCTAAGCGACTCGACGGGTTGCTGACTCCTTACGTACCTTGTGCTTTCAGCCTGAAGTCTCCCAAGGAATGTGAGGACTTACTGCGGGGAACACGGGCCACGGGGATTAAGAGCCTCGTTGGATGTGGAGTCACTATTTATCAACGTACTTGTGGACGAAACAATCGGGATGATAGCAGAAAAAGTGTATCATGACCCGGCTTGCTCTACTCTTGACATGCCAGAAAGCATACTGAGGAAACTACTCCAAGCCTGCACTATAGAGGTGCACTTATTGAGCCTAGATGGGCACATGTATAAGCAAGTAGATGGTGTCGCCATGGGTTCTCCCCTAGGTATCCTGTAGGCGAACGGGTTTGTATCTGTCAATTCCTCCAAAGGAATTTGTTGACTTACTGCGGGGCACACGGGCCACAGGGATAAGAGCCTCGTTGGACGTAGAATCACTGTTTACCAACGTACCTGTGGACGAGACAATCGGGATGATAGCCGACAGAGTGTATCGTGATCCGGCCTGTACTCCTCTTGACATACCAGAAAATATTCTAAGGAAACTACTCCAAGCTTGTATTAAAGAGGCACCCTTCTTGAGCCCGGATGGGCACATGTATAAGCAAGTAGATGGGGTCGCCATGGGTTCTCCCCTAGGTGTCCTGTTTGCAAACTTCTACATGGGTACCATCGAGCAAAAAGTCTTAGTCGACATGAACTTGAAACCGGCCATATACTGCAGGTATGTTGACGACATTTTTACACAGGTACCTGATGTCAGACATCTGCAGGAGCTGAAGGAGGCATTTGAGCAGAGGTCCGTGCTGCGTTTCACTTATGAGATGGAAAAGGATGGGAAGCTGCCCTTTCTAGATGTAACAGTCATGGAAAAGAGCGGAGGTTTCCACACTGCAGTCTACACTAAGGAAACGAACATAGGAATGTGCCTAAATGCCAACAGCGACTGCCCAGACAGGTACAAGAGGAGTGTTGTTAACGCTTATGTCGACCGTGCTCTCAGCCACAGCTCAGAATGGAAGCAAGTCGACGAAGAACTCTGTAGGGTAAGGCAGGTCCTAGTCAACAACGGCTTCTCCAATGGTTTCGTCGAAGACATCATAAGAAGGAAAGTGAAACGCCATGCAACCTCTGAAGAGACAACTAACACAACACCTATACCCCCTATTAGACTATTTTACAGGAACTTCTTTTCCACAGCTCATAAAACGGAGGAAAGGGTCCTGAAAGATATTGTTAATAGAAACGTTATCCCTACAGACAAAAATCAGAGGATACAACTGACGATTTACTATAAAACCAGAAAAACGGCCAGCCTACTCATGAGAAACTCTCCAGACACAAAGCAGAACGCTTTAAAAGAGACCAACGTCGTCTATGCCTTCAAATGCCCTCTTGGGGACTGTAAGCTCCAAAAAACCCAGTATATAGGCAAGACAACAACATCTCTTTCTAGGCGTTTAACGATGCATAAGCAACAGGGCTCCATTAAGGAACATATAATCTCTTCCCACAACCAAACCATCGCCAGAGAAATCCTAGTAAACAACACAGAAATCATCGATAGATACAGCGATAGCAGGCGGCTTGACGTCTGCGAGGCACTACACATCAAGAAGTCAACACCAGCAATCAACAGACAATTAATGCACAACTATATTCTACCCACCTCAAGACTCCGCTCCAATATAGAAGCATCAAGAAATATGGACCAATAGGCTTTCTACAATCACTTCCATTCAATACCCATTGTTTCGTGTTCTGTCTTGTGTTTAGGAATTTAATACCCTATTAATACCACCTCACCCCATCCACCTCACTCAAATGTAGATATAAACAAATCGAAGATGTGTAAGTTCTATTCAGTTGTGTATGTGTAAACTAAAGTCTTTGAAAATGTAATAAGTTTTACGAAACGCGCTCAAGTGTCGCGTCAGACTAGAAATAAAAATGAATTTTGGAGAATTGATTTTTTAATTACCACCAACAGTGAAAAGAAACGTACGAAAGATCGAGAAAATTCGTGTTAGAATTATTAATCTTACTTTTTCGGTCATATTTAATAATATATGTCTACAGGAAAGACTGCTACCAAAATATACTAATATATATATATATATATATATATATATATATATATATATATATATATATATATATATATATATATATATATATATATATATATAATTTATTTATATTACTCATATATGTGAACCATTTAATGCGTTTCGAAAAGTTGTTATTTCTGCGTTTTTGTGTCAATACACACAGTAATCAAAGTAATATATTGTCCTATTTTTATTACATAATATTTAATACTTAAAATAATATGATGGTCATAATTTGTGTCGTCACAGGAAGTAGTGACGTCACAAATCAGTGACGTCATGGGCCACATTGAGGTAACCACCCACAATGTTGCCACAAGATGTATATATGTGTATATCTGTCATGTGACCTGCCATAGACAGTCATTACCCCGTCCACTTGACCTGACGCCCCGGCCCGTCTCTTTCGTCCACAGGTCTGAGCGGGGACAGGTTCAAGTTCGACAGGCAGGGAGACGGGCCAGCGCGCTACAATATCATTCACTTCAAGCAGGTGATGCGAGGCCGATATGATTGGGTGACCGTCGGCCAGTACGTCGAGGGCGAGCTCAAACTCAACATGAGCGGTGAGTGGGCTCAACCTGAGGTATGGGGAGGAGTGGGCTCAACCTGAGGTATGGGGAGGAGTGGGCTCAACCTGAGGTATGGGGAGGAGTGGGCTCAACCTGAGGTATGGGGAGGAGTGGGCTCAACCTGAGGTATGGGGAGGAGTGGGCTCAACCTGAGGTATGGGGAGGAGTGGGCTCAACCTGAGGTATGGGGAGGAGTGGGCTCAACCTGAGGTATGGGGAGGAGTGGGCTCAACCTGAGGTATGGGGAGGAGTGGGCTCAACCTGAGGTATGGGGAGGAGTGGGCTCAACCTGAGGTATGGGGAGGAGTGGGCTCAACCTGAGGTATGGGGAGGAGTGGGCTCAACCTGGGGTATGGGGAGGAGTGGGCTCAACCTGGGGTATGGGGAGGAGTGGGCTCAACCTGGGGTATGGGGAGGAGTGGGCTCAACCTGAGGTATGGGGAGGAGTGGGCTCAACCTGAGGTATGGGGAGGAGTGGGCTCAACTGAGGTATGGGGAGGAGTGGGCTCAATGAGGTATGGGGAGGAGTGGGCTCAACCTGAGGTATGGGGAGGAGTGGGCTCAACCTGAGGTATGGGGAGGAGTGGGCTCAACCTGAGGTATGGGGAGGAGTGGGCTCAACCTGAGTGGGCTACCTGAGGGGGCTCAACCTGAGGTATGGGGAGGAGTGGGCTCAACCTGAGGTATGGGCTCAACCTGAGGTATGGGGAGTGGGCTCAACCTGAGGTATGGGGACCTGAGTGGGCTCAACCTGAGGTATGGGGAGGAGTGGGCTCAACCTGAGGTATGGGGAGGAGTGGGCTCAACCTGAGGTATGGGGAGGAGTGGGCTCAACCTGAGGTATGGGGAGGAGTGGGCTCAACCTGAGGTATGGGGAGGAGTGGGCTCAACCTGAGGTATGGGGAGGAGTGGGCTCAACCTGAGGTATGGGGAGGAGTGGGCTCAACCTGAGGTATGGGGAGGAGTGGGCTCAACCTGAGGTATGGGGAGGAGTGGGCTCAACCTGAGGTATGGGCTCAACCTGGGATGGGGAGTGGGCTCAACCTGAGGTATGGGGAGGAGTGGGCTCAACCTGAGGTATGGGGAAGAGTGGGCTCAACCTGAGGTATGGGGAAGAGTGGGCTCAACCTGAGGTATGGGGAGGAGTGGGCTCAACCTGAGGTATGGGGAGGAGTGGGCTCAACCTGAGGTATGGGGAGGAGTGGGCTCAACCTGAGGTATGGGGAGGAGTGGGCTCAACCTGAGGTATGGGGAGGAGTGGGCTCAACCTGAGGTATGGGGAGGAGTGGGCTCAACCTGAGGTATGGGGAGGAGTGGGCTCAACCTGAGGTATGGGGAGGAGTGGGCTGAACCTGAGGTATGGAGAGTGGGCTCAACCTGCGGTATGGAGAGTGGGCTCAACATGAGGTATGGGGAGTGGGCTCAACCTGAGGTATGGGGAGTGGGCTCAACCTGAGGTATGGGGAGTGGGCTCAACCTGAGGTATAGTGGGCTCAACCTGAGGTATGGGAGTGGGCTCAACCTGAGGTATTGGGAGTGGGCTCAACCTGAGGTAGGGAGTGGGCTCAACCTGAGGTATGGGGAGTGGGCTCAACCTGAGGTATCGGGAGTGGGCTCAACCTGAGATATGGGGAGTGGGCTCAACCTGAGGTATGGAGGAGTGGGCTCAACCTGAGGTATGGGGAGTGGGCTCAACCTGAGGTATGGCGAGGAGTGGGCTCAACCTGAGGTATGGAAAGTGGGCTCAACCTGAGGCATGGGGAGGAGTGGGCTCATCCTGAGGTATGGGGTGTGGGCTCAACCTGAGGTATGGGAAGTGGGCTCAACCTGAGGTATGGGGAGTGGGCTCAACCTGAGGTATGGGGAGTGGGCTCAACCTGAGGTATGGCGAGGAGTGGGCTCATATTCAAGCACCAGGATATATGCTCATAGTTAGGAGACAGGAAGCACATGAGCCCCTGAGACATTGAGCACATGAGCGCCTGAGAGTGAGCACATGAGCGCCTGAGAGTGAGCACATGAGCGCCTGAGACAGTCAGTGCGCAAGAAAGTGAGTTCAATAAAGTGACCACCATTCCAGAGACCCCAAGTTTAAAACTTAGTTGACAGGGCTACACCTTGGCTCTCAAAGTTAGAGAGTTGAGAGAAAGTTTTTATTGAACATCTATCACATCTTTTTCCGGCAGTATATTTCATTTTCCTTCCACCAGGCTGATCTCTTAAGAGCGCGCTCACTGTCTCAAACTATGTCAATATGAGCAGGAAATCCATTATCTTTCTGAAAGAGTATTAAACCTCATGAAATTTAAGCCTTTATATCTATACTATAAGAGAGAAAGTTTGTTCAGAGTTGGAGGTCAGACGCTTCGGGCCAGACTCATCCAAATTGGCAGAGGGAATGGTCTGGTGCTCTGGATGAACATAGGCTGGTCGGGACCAATAATGTACAGTTGGTACATTACGGGTCCCTAATATTATAATATTCTACACGAACTTTTTCTCGACGTCCCATAAAACTGAAGAGAGGGTCCAAAAAATATTATTGACAGAAATGTGACCCTTACTGACACAACCGGAAGAGTGAATTAATAAAAAGCTACAAGAGCAACTATATTGGCGACTTGCTCATGAAGAACTCTCCTGACACCACACCTCCTTGAGAGAGACTAATGTCTTCTATGCCTTCACACGCCCACTTGGGGACTATCAGCCCCAACGAACTCAATATATAGGCAAGACAACAACATCCCTTTCAAGACGGTGATCAGTGCACAAGCAGCAAGGCCATATTAAGAACATATAGTCTATACATAACCAGATCATCACAAGATATATCCTCACAAACACCAAAATAATCGACAAATACAGTGACAACACAAAACGAGGGCGACCCATCAAGCATGGGCCATGTATCAACACTCAACTACCACCACATTACACTCTGCCAAATACCACAACATGACGGAACACGCATCATACTGCACCAACCATCATGTAAACACCAGAGTGACATGATACAATGGACCTGTAAATAAGGTGCTTCACCTTATCCCCTTCACCTCGTCACCTTCACCTCATCCTCGGGTATATATCATGCAACAAGATACATATTAACAAGGTATTAACGAGACAAATGTGTATCAATGATCCTACTCAAATTGCCCTTTAGCTGATCAATCAAAAATGGATCTAAATTATACAAGCCACTGATAATGTACAAATTACACGATTTTGTAATTCTGTATTATTGCAGATTCAATTATGTTCCTATTGAAAGTAATTTTTACAATTCGTTATTGAAGAAGCCATCTCCCAATCAATTTGGTGAGAATTTTCAGACAAATGAACAAAGCATTAGACAATTGGCCGTGTCTTACAGAGTATTTATGTTGCGAAATTCGAAATTTCCAATCTTTTATATGTGTTCTCAACATAGAATCTATTACAATCTTTACCAAGTATTTTATAAATGACTCAATTATCACTACGAGGACTGTTTCTAACTAATAGTTTTCTAACAGTATTTTCGTAATTAAACATTACTGTATATCAAAAAGTTTTAAGGGCTTGATAATATTTTCAAACCCAGAATAATATGGTTAACAGAATACATTCTTTGAGCGAATTTTCACATTACATATATTATTATAATATGTATAACGTGCTTTGCTACGGCAAACTTCCCAAAAACTCATTGGATATCAAAGCTTGAGACCAATAGAATCAATATTCTTAAACTCTTCATCTAAGAGTTCTGGACTAACAATCCGAAGAGCTCTTAGATACATAGATGAAAAAGTTGATTGTTTCACATTGTATCTATGTCCTGAGAAATAATGAACATGATAAATTATTCGTAGGCTTTCTGTAAACACTAAACCTTAGTGAAAAATCTTCCCTATGAATAAGTATATATATGAATAGCAAACATTTATCAATTTCAGGCTCAATAGTAAACTATATAGAGGTTACAATCATTAAGTTTAGCTACAAATTCGTCTGTGTTTGCATTTGTAGACCACACACACACACACACACAATATCAACAACGTATCTAAACCATGGAATGATTCCAGGGGTAATTTTTTAAACAAAATTCTTTTCTAAGAGTTCCATGTACAAGTTTGAAAGCAATGTCGATAAAGGACTCCCCATTGTCATTGCAAAAGTCTGTAAATAATAGAATGTCATCAACATTATTAAAGGTAAATTTTTATTCTTTTCTACACAGCTTAACGAGATTGACAACAATATCAGCAGAAAGAGGTAAAACATGATTCATTAATTCATGAGCAAGGTAATCAAGAATATTATCAGCTGACACCTTTGTTAACAAAGAACAAATGTCATAACTGATTAACTTGACATCAGGAGTGATTGGAACACTATTCAATTTGTTAACTAATTGTTACATACTTCAGTCACGTTATTGTGACTCATCGCCTGCGTTGGTAACTATTTCAATAAAATTGGTCAAATAAGAAGAGGAAATAGTTCCTAACAATGGAGACAAGATTTTGGTAAGCCATTTAGAAAGCTTGTAAGAAATGGATCCCACAGAACTGATGATAGGCCTCATGGAACTGTTAGGCTTACGAGTCTTGACAAGTCCATAGAGATATGGTAATGAAGGTGATGAGGTACTAAATTGATTAAGAAGATCTTTATATTTACAGAACAACTTCCTCAAGCTGCTATTGAAGAACTTGATAATGTCCTCAAGAGGATTTTTCCCGAGTTTAGTGTATGATGAAGAATCTTGGAGATTATTCATGTTGTAAATATATTCCTCCTTGTTTAGATTAACAACAGTGCTGGATTTATCAGCCTTTGTTATATGAAGGAGGAGTCGGCTCTTAATGCCTGTAAGCCTAGACTGAACCTTTCAGGGAAATCAGGCAGACACAGCTAATGGCGATGACTAATGTGCCACGAGACACAGGGAGGAGGGGAGGAAGAGGAGAGGAGGATGAGGAGAAGGAGGAGGAAGAGGA